ATCTAAAAAGTTCTCATAGGACTTATCGTCGCGATCAAGTACCGGTATTGGCATGTCAGACGATGGAATTGGGGGAACACCGGGAATATGAAGAAGGGAATTTAGATCTTTAAGACTTTTTGTGGTGGTGTTATGAATGGTTGGGAAATAAAGGAAAATAGCAAGAACACCAGCACCAGAAGAGGAGAAGTGGTAGCCAGGGATACTGAGTTCCTTGGCAACAGAGAGAGCAGCACAGCAAAAGACGTCCACAACAAGTCCATGAATGGTGTAGTTTTTGGAAATGGACAATAGTTCTTCACGAACGTGAGGATTGCTGAGGCGAAGGACCTCAGAAGTGAGTTCTTCATGATGGGTGGTTTTTGTAGAAGGGAGGGTTACAGTAGGAAGATGGTGGAATTTGATCGAGGGAATGGTGGCAGCAACGTTGGCAATGTATGGGGCAGTGGAGCCAGAATCATAGGGCACAGAAGTGATGAGTATGTGAATATAAAGGGAAGGATTTTGGGTCAATAAGAGTTTCCCCAGTTCCACCATAGATATCAAATGGCCAATAGGTGGTGATGGGTACAGAACTATGGCCTCCTCCATGGCTGCTCGTGGCCTTTCCTATACCTCTGTGTACTAGGAGGGAGGGAGGGAGAGCAAGCAATCTATGCGGAGCAGTTTCGAAAAGAATGGTCTAAGGTCACAAACAGCATCCGAGCATGAAATAGGGTCAGATAGATGTTGTTCCACCAAAGTTTTCATTGGTTTGTTCATATGCCTACTAAGTAATTGCTCTCATAGTCTTTCATCTTGGTGAACACGTGCTCTGCCAGCACAAAAAAATCTTATAGCAGGACAAAATCCAGGACAGTGAAAATAATAATTTAAGCAAAATATAGTAGTCAGCACTGACGTCAGAATCAATGTGTTTTAGCAGCCAAGAATCAAGACACATCTTCTAAATTTTCAAGGCAAAAGAAGACAATTGCGTTTATCTTTCCTTGACACGTAGCTACCACCTATGAGGTGGTATGGAATATGCCGCCGGCTACCACTTCATAAGTGTTCTCGGACAAGAAAAAAATCGAGACCGAGTCATTAATTTAGTTGGAATTCATGAGTTTGTATAATTTTAATAATACACATAAAAAATAAAATGATAATGAATAAATTAATAAAAAAAATTATCAAAAAAAGATAAAGAAAACCGATTCGAGCCCATCCATGTGGTGATGTGTACAGAACTACTGCCTCCTCCATTGCTCTCCCGCTTGAGAGATAGAACAAAAACAAGCACTGTACAAGTAGAGGGTGACGTGTGGGAGAGATTAAGCAGGCTACAAAGTTTTGTAAGGTGAGGCAAGCGTTTATTATTTATTTATTTATTTTTAAAGAAATTTACCAATAATTTACTTGCTGACAACACAATTAACTGGACAATAGCAAATAATAATAATAATAATAATAATAATAGATTACAGTGGTTGAAATAGGATAGACCATAGGAATCTTAGTTCATGAAGTGAAAATTTTATTACAATTTATTTTAAAAAAATTTACAATATCTTAAATAAATTTAAAAACAAACTAGAAAATCCAAAAAAAATAAAATTCATAAATAAACTAAGAAAAATAAAATTATGAATTCATCAATACTTGATTTTCTAAACTAAATAAAAAGAAAAATCATAAAAGTAACAAATTATCCTAAATCAAGTAATAATAATAATAATAATAATTGAAAAACTTTTTTTCTTGTAATCCTCCAATATCACTAGGCTATGTACAAAAATCAAGCCTTCCTCCCTTTCTCGTCCCAACTGTTCGGCCATTGTTCTGAGTTTTTTGTGTGTAGTTATCTTGGTGTCTTGTTGGTGAGTTTTGGGTTGAAGGTGAAGGAGACATGTACTTAGAAAACACTCTCATTATTTTCTCATTTTGTTTGAATTAATTAGAGATGAGAGAAGAAATATAAATAATCTTTAACCCCATGAATTAAAATAACCCCAAAAATTAAATGTACATAAAATTGCCTTCAAGTTAAGCATTGCATATTAATCATCTATAATGGCACTTTGCTTGAGTTTCTAGTTACACTTTTTTTTTTTAATTTTTATTGTTATTATTCATTTTATGATATGATCCTGCATTTGACTGTTGATATATATTCATGGGTCTTGTGATGCACACGATTGTCTTCTTCATGGCACCCCAGGATGGTGCCGTTTTGCTGCAAATTAACCCACTAGAACAGCCCATGCATTATTTACATCGGGTCCGCTATTTCTATTATTGTGTGTTAACGATAGTTTTAGCTTTATTTATTGCAAAATTTGAGTAGCTCACATTAGATGTTGGATCTTCTAGAAAGCAAGTAGGTAAACAAACTTGTGCAGGGGACTTGACTCCTCAATCAAGTGCCGCTACTGAAATTATAAAATCGTAAATAATTTTTTAAAATAATTATATATTGATAATTTTAATCAAGATAATAAATTAAAATGAGCTAATAATATTATAATCAATAAATAATATAATAAAATAAAAGAGATAAATAATATTAATTAATAAATTAATGACATAAAAAAATAAAAAGTTTCAGAACAAAATTTCTCAATACAGGAAACCACTGAAAAGTAAGAAAAAAAGACAATTGATGGTTCCCATCACAATAAATATCGATAAACTTCTTTTGGATTGCAAGCTAATAAATTTAAATTAGTAATGAATTAATATAAATTCAATAATAAAATCAATTCTTAAATAATGTCCAATGTGTTAGATAATATAAATTCAATAATAAAATCAATTCTGAAATAATGTCCAATGTGTTAGAAAAAAATTCAAATTAAAAATAATTATTTAAAATTAAATAAAAAAATAGAATAAAAAAAAATTCATGTTAAATACCTTCATATATCCTGAATCTCCAATTTTTGCATATTCTTGATTGATTTGAATCCTAATTTCAAACATGTCGTTCTCTCTCGTTTGAATAAATTATTAAACCTACAATATATGATTGAAAAGTTTCAGATGTCTAGTTTTTATCTCAACTTTAATCAAAACAAAATTTCATCGGTAGCTCTCGATATATCCTAAACAGTACACTAAGGTCTTATTTGACATATTTGACAATATTTGTTTACTAACTTTGATCATCTAAAATATTATGTTCCCTAACTCCATTTGACTTGAAAATATATCATAATATATTTTTATTTATTTAATATTTTCCTGTAAAATTTTAGTTTTATCTAATATACAGTTTAAAAGATATGTTCAATCTCGCAAAACTAATCAGCAAACATTTTAAGATCAATTTTGAACTTAACTTTACTAAAATCACAAATTTACTAAAATCATAAAATCAAACCAAGTTTACTGATTTTGCACCAGTTAAGTTTGATTTTACTAGTTCAAGTTTTTAATCGGATTTAACATGTTAGATACATATTGACTCGTAAAATCGTAAGATTTTAAGAATTAACTCGTAATTTTAACAATATAAACACTCAATCTTGAAGAATATTTAAAGTCTTTATTTCAATAATAATAATAATAATAATATGCTTTGAATAACTAATGTCTAGGAGATTATTTATATGCAATACGCCAAACAAAATTGGAAAACCTAACAAGTCTTAATTCAATAAGGAAGCTAAAATCCTAATGTAACTTTAACTAATAAATAATAAATACTATCATTCCAAGTAATAAAACATAAAATAATGACACAATTATAAAATTCCTCAATAAATAAATATTAATTCCCATCGTTGTCCTTCATCCCCATCAAACACCTCGTGCAATCTGTTTTCACATTGGACCCAGCATTTAGCTATGGACAAAATAAAACTTGCTCAGTAAGGCTTTTTGGTTTTCAAAGTTCTTTTTGACTAGACTCTGATTTGAGTGATAATAATCTATTGGAATTTGTTAATGAATAATTATAAAATAAAAAGTTTGAACAATGAAGCCACCGCCCATGGTATAGTGGCAGTAGCATTTACAACTTCCATTATGAAACATTGCCATTTTTTCTCTTGCCTCAGCTCGCAGTTCTTTTCCATGTTCAGTGATTGCACTGTGTACATAAATTGCTAGATACATTGTAAGTGTAGCTTGTATGCTCTACTTTAATTGAACTTGTATACATCCTTTGAAAGTTTATAATCCAGTCCCACACACAGGGCTCCCTTTTCTTTCATTTTCTTTTCAACCTTGAAGCATGTTCTACCAGCTGCCATTCAATATATTCAGGTCTCAGAATTATCCAAGTCGCATTAACTATTTTGTGGAATTTCCTCCTCTCAAGACCATACCAAAACATTGCATTGTCTGTTCTATTCAGATGCATGGATGCATATAAACACGCTACTTCTACTGAAATACAAATATCAGAAATTATTTTTTATTATCGGAATTCATTTCTTCAGTATGAAGACGTCTATACATTTTTTGAGCCAGAGCTTCCTTGTGAATCACTAGCATTAGCACGAACCAGGTCACTAGATCCTGCGAGGACATCTATTTCAATGATTCCAGACAGTACAAACCAAGTCAAGGCTCATCAGTTAAGGAAACAACGCTCATTGTCAACTTTGGAAAGGAGTAATTATCGAAGTGCTGCTTGGCGGCCTATAGTTCATGATAGAATGTCATTGCCAGAGGGCTCATCTGTACTTGATCTCAAGGCTGAGAATTTCTTCTCGTGTACTGTTTCCCGGAAGCAATCGGATGCTCGATATCTCCTTCAGTCATCAGATAATGTTGGCACACTTATAAAAGAGCTGGCAGAGTCTAAATCACCAAATTGATTCAATTTTACTGGTTTTCTTGGGCCTATAATTCGGAGGCTTGAGAAACTAGAGAGTACCTTGGCGATTATTGGTACTGGCGCTAGCAGAGGTTCCGTGATCAAGTTGATTCAAGCTATCTTTTTTCCCTAGTCGGTTCACTTGGGAAATTTGAGAACCTCACAGAGGATCTAGAGAGGAATGATGATGTTGGGCACATGCAAGATATGATTTATCTGCACATATTAGTCTCTCCCATGTCCCAACTACCTTCTTGTAGGCACTCCCTTACCCTACAATTGCTGCCTGAGTAGTCCCTGGACAGTTCAGTGCAAGAAGTCTGAATTGGAGTACAAAGCGGTATAATGAAAAGACGAGAAATTCCTTTTTGTTAGTTGAGTGACATCAAATGTAGCAACTAGAAGTTACATGATGAGAAGAAATTTGGGGTGTTTTCTCCTTTCTAATACATTTGGAAAAATATTTAAACAAAGTAGCAGCATTGGTTAAAAACTTATTTGACAAATAGCATAGCTGGGAAATAGAAATTTGGTTAAAAATATAGTCTTCTCCTGCGAGTTTTGAAAAAATTGCAGGTGGGAGGGAACTGCTATTTTTAGAAATCATAGGTGGGAAATGTAGTTTTTTTTAAATCTTAACTTTGATCTTAAACTTTAACTCTAACTAAACCCTAAGTAACCTCAAATGCAAACCCTACACAACCCAAGCCTCAAATTCTAACACGAAACCTCAAATCTAAACTCTAAACATTAACCCTAAATTCAAACCCTAACCTTAACAAACACCAAATACAAACCCTAAACATTATCCTAACCCTAAACACAAATTAACACCAATCCTAAATTCAAACCACAAACCCCCAAATAAAGATCCCAAGCCAATCCATTATGTCACTTGTTTTCCATCGTCTCTCTTTTCCCTAATAAGGGAGGGATGCACATACATGTTATATCAATCAATGCCCAGGATTCTCCCAACATTTTACACATCATTCACAAGGAAAATGCCCTAGATGAATTAGAAGTATTGCATCTTATATTTGTATTTATAGCCATACTTACCAAAAATAATAATTTAAGCAAAATATAGTGGTCAGCACTGACGTCAGAATCCATGTGTTTTAGTAGCCAAGATACATCTTCTAAATTTTGAAGGCAAAAGAAGACAATTGCCTTTATCTTTCCTTGACAGGTAGCTACCACTTCATAGGTGGTATGCATATGCCACCTACGGCAGACTAGCTTAAATTTTTTCCCCCATAAAAAAGATATTAAAAAAACTGTTTTCAGAGAAGGAAAAAAAATTGTGAGTTTAATAAGTTTATATAATTTCAATAATATAAATAAAAAATACAACAATAGACATAAACTAATAAAAAAAATAAAAAATAAAAACAAATTTGAGCTCATCCAAGTTAGCATGCTAAATTTACACCATGATCATGATACCAAGGTAATCCTATTAAAAACAAATTGAATAAAACAATAAATCTCGATTATCAAACAATCCAATATTGAAAAGTATAACTGAAAAAAATAATTAAAAAAAATGATAGTATAACTGAAAAAAATAATTAAAAAAAAATGATAAAAAAAAAATATGAATCAACTAAGATTAACTTGTTAACCCTGCAACCATGGATATAGAATTGAGATAACCTAATGATAGTAAAGCGAAGAAAAAACACAAAAACTAATTCCCAATAAATAAAACATTTAATGGATGAAATTAAAAAAATAAAATTTAAAAAGAAACTAAAAATAGATCGAAGTTAACCCGTATTAATATTTGAAACTCATGATCCTTCACATGAACCTAGAACTAACTTCATAAAAGACAAACCAGTAAAATTCTCAACCACAAAATGCTAAGAGATGAAATTGTGAAGAAAAATAAATAAAAAGAATATGGACTAAATTTAACTTAAAAATAAATCAAAATCAAATGTTAATGGAAGGAATTGAAAAGAAAATTCAATTAGAAAAGAAATAAGAAAAAAAAATTATAGAAATGAATTAAGAAAAAAAGATAACAAAACAAAACAAATAACAATAAAAAAAATAAGAATTAAATTGAATATTAAAAAAACAAATGAAAAGACACTTTATAATTTCTCAAGGAGGATAAAAGAAAAGGGGGGGAAGAAAGAAAAAAAATCCAACGAAGCCACATTATCACTCCACCGCCAACACTTACCTTGTCATCATGAAGATATTAATTTGTCACTCCCAACACTACCACAAAAAGTAGTATTTGGCCATTAGAGTAGCTTACACATGCCGCTTGAAGGGCATGAGCTTCTTTAACTCTTTAGCACATGCATTGCATGCCTCAACAACTTTTCTTTTTATTTTCTTTTCATTTATTAAAGACTAGATTGTTTCTCCCTCCATTTGATAATAACGAGAAAACTATTATGAAAAGACTAAAAATCCCCATAACACAAGTTATAGGGTTTTTTTGTTTCTAAGGGTAATTTGGTTATTTTAGTATGTTTTTAAAGAGGAAAATCCAAAAATAGCCTTAGTCAATAGTTGATCAATCATACTTTTAAGGGTATTTTAACCATTGCATTATGCAAATAAAAGGATAAAGACTTATATGTCCCAATTCAATCTAGTAATGGCAAATAAGTCAAATGAAAAATACTATTTTGCTCTTATAGACGGCAAAACAATTATTTCATTATGCAAAACCATAGTGAAATATAAGTGCCTCTATAGTAAAACATATTTTATTGATCTTAGATATTATTAATTTAATGACCAATAGTAAAGAGGATAAGGGGCAAGGTAAAAGGGAAGGACCATGAAATTTTAGACTTCCTAGTCTCATCATGATTGGATTCTAGGACTAGCAATGTGTCAATTTTTTAAAAAATTAGCATAATTAATTAAAAATTTGGGCAAAAAAACACAGTTTGAAAATGTTTTGGCAAACTAGTATAGTTTTAGGTAATTGCGCTTTTGAAACACAATATTTAGTAAATGTCATTATTTCTAAGCACGACAACCACCATGTCGCGCTTTAGAATAACAACTTAACATGTTGTACTTCTAAAGCGTGACAACTTAACATGTCATGCTTTTAAAATGTGACATATTATGAAATTTAAACCCTTGTCAGATTGAAGAATATAAACACAACAGTCACCTATCTCTAAAAAACAACACAACCTCCCTCTAAAAAATTCATAAATCACTACCCCTAAAACACCAAAAACTCGAAGCCATCTTAGCCACCAAGCATCCTGCGATGTTTTTCTCTTTAAATATTGCTAAAAACCATCATTGCCAATATTGCCAAACACTTTCTAATCTTACAAGCAAGTTAAACATACTACATTGCTATTAGTTATATGGGTTTTATATTTATTTTATGTTTGGTTTAGTCTAAATGAAATTATAAGTTGAATTTAAAGCTTATTGAATTAATGATAAATTTTCTACGAATGTCATCAATTAGGATTGATTTGATATAGTTGAATATGAAAATAATATCAATTAGAAATTAAGAATTTCAATGAATTATGTGTTGCACTGAATTTTGGATAAATTACCAAATTAGAAATTTTATATAAATTGGTTGAAATCAGCTAAGAGCTATGAATTACGCTTGATGATTTCATGCAATAGAGCATGAATAAGGTACAATTTTGATGAATTACATGAGTTGAATTGTGGATAAGTTGTTGAATTTGATATTTTCTTTGAATTGTTTGCATTTACTACAAATCTGAATTTGATTTCATGCAATTGAATATGAAAATATCAATGAGGTTTGATATAATGAATTATATTGAATTTCAGTGCATTATGCACTACATTAAATTTTGGAATTATGTTTGGATTTGCTATGAATTTTGACAATAAGAATTTGATTTGATGCAATTTATTTAAAATTATATTCAATTGACCATAATCAACTTTGTTTTTTCAACAAGATGTCTTATAACATTTCCATGCTTATGTCATTATGGTGATGCTATTGTTCCTAATGTGAACAATAGTATCACCTGCAATAATAAAAGCAGTGTGCTATTAAATTGTAATTTAGACATGCATGCAGAAATAAAAGAAACTACATGTCATGGACTTAGATAAAACTATAATTATATTGAAGTTGATATCACTTGGAGATATCAAGTTGGGGAACACCATTGTTATCTTGGATCGATTGTATATTATAAAAATTTTAAGATATTGGTGGATTCTTTCATCCAAAATGGATTGAACATGATGATATTGTATATGAATAGTCAAACAAGTTCTTTGTATATTCTAACTTCTAGTCGAATAGGTAGTATAAGTGTATCATAATCTATCGATCCTTCAAGGTTACTTAGTAGAGAGAAAAAAAATTAATTGTTAAATGATTTGTTACAAAGAAGTGATGATACTATGTTTAACAATCCATTTGTTAATCAACATGACTATAATTATTCTAAGTCTAATGACAATAAAGATGATGAGACGTTAAACTCAAAGGTGACAATAAATGATGATGATGATGAAGAAATAATATCTCTTGTTCCTGAACTTGGAGATGCTTATAAGTCTACATTTGTTGTTTTTCATAATTGAGCACTTAGTCATAAATGTTTGCTAGGAGACTCTAATTTGGAGGTTGGAAAAATATTCAGTAGTAAAAATAATTTAGTTAGTGCAATTAAACTATGGCACATTGCATATTCAATTGAATATCGAGCTCAACAGTTAGCCTCGACTTTTGATCAATTACAATGTGTGCAAAAATCAGAATATAAATAATATTTATATGGGGGATACCATAAAAGATCAAGTTCAATTGATATAGAAAAGTTAAAACAATCGCACATATGTACCTTGAATTTTGTCCAAAAAGACCAATATCAGCTCGATAAAAATTTTATTAGTAATGTTGTATCAACCCTTATGATGAATTAGAAATGAGTGCAAAAATCAAAATGCAAATGATATTTTTGTGGGGGATACTATAAAAGATCAGATTCATTTGAGAAAGAAAAGTTAAAAGGATCACACATGTACCTTGAATTTTGTCCAAAAAGGCCACCATCATCTCGCTGAAAATTTTATTATTAATGTTATATCAACCTTTATGATGAATAATCTTTCAATGATGGTTGTAAGCATTCAGGAAAAAATAAAACTGCATTACAAGTATTATAAAATATCATATGACAAAACATAAATAGCAAAACAGAAGGTGTTTAAGCATCTCTTTAGTTCATACAAGAAGTCATAATTGCCAAGTTTGTTGTTGGCAATAAAAAAATAAAATCCTATAATGATTGTTAATTGGAAGAACAAAGAAATTCTTCATGATAGTACAATGGTATTTGAGAGAATTTTTCGATCATTTAAACCTTGTATTTAAGGTTTCAAGCATTATATGCCACTAATCAATATTGATGGCACATATTTGTATTGGAGACATGATGAAAAATTATTGATTGTAGTTGCTTTTGATGCAAATAATAGGATATTCCCTTTGACTTTTGCAATTGTTGATGAAGAAAATAATTACAATTGAAAATGATTTTTACTTTGCTTGTAGAGATACGTTATCAGTGATGGTAATCACTCTTGATATCACTCTTTAAAAACAAGTTGGAACCTGAAAACTAATCCAACATGTCAACTAGTGGTGATATTGAGAACTTGTACTTCACTGTAATCTAGTTGATGGCTTGACTATCCACAAACATATGCTATAAACCATTATTTTTTAGGACTAGAAGAGTCGGGACTGCACACAAACTTATGTTTTCTTAAATGTAACCCGGATCTAACAACTCCAGAACCTGTCTCTACAACTCTTCAGTTTCCTTAGAGTTCAATCTATAAGTTGATTAGTTTGGGAGACTAAGGTTGTGTTTGCATTGCGTTCCCAAAAATTTTGAAATTTGTTTTTACTTAAAATGAAATTTTTTTATATTTGCACATCATTTTGATACGCTAATGTCAAAAATGATTTTTTTAAAAAAACAAAATTCATTTTGATGCATTTCTAAGCGAAAAGTATTTTAAACTGTCACCGCTACCACAATTTCAAACATGCTATAAAACCTTCAATCAAGTCAATATGGTGTTGAATATCTCTCATGAGAGGCAATCCCTAGGGTAATTAATCTAGCATCAAATCTGAAAATTATATCAACACATCTTGTACCTTCTCAAAGCTATCATCAACATCATCATCATCCTAGATTGTTCTACCACTAGGAACTAGGGCATAGACTACTTGTTCAACTCGTATTTTCTCTGTAATTTGTTATAAAGACAACAAAATCTTCCCTTTTTCAATTCTCTTTTCCACTTTCTCTTTCATTACTTATAACACAATATGTTTTCCTTCTAAGCTTAGATTATATGTATTTTTTCTAACATCATGCACTACACTTCTATCAAACTATCACGGCTTTCCTAATAAAATGTGACATGCATCCATAGACACCACATCATATCAAGAACTATCAAAATATTTTTTTTTCCCATGGAAATAGGTACAAAAGAATGTTTGACGACCATTACTTCGTTATCTCTATTTCTCGATGTCAACTTATAAGGCTTATGATGATATTTTGTCATCAATTAAAGCTTTTTTATCACCTCTATCAAAACCATATTCTTGCAACTACCACTATTTATGATTAAACTATATACCTCATCTTTAATAGTGCACGTAGAATGTAAGATACTAAAGTGACACCAATCCTCTTTTGAATAATTTTGGGTGTCAGCAAACTCTTTCTAATAACAAAGGTTATTATTATCTGAATCATTATCATACTTAGGATAAGTCATATTTGTAGGCTTCTCTATCAACAATGTTTTTTTTTTCTAGGTAACTCTCTACTTTGCTACCCTCGCCAGCCCAATGCCCAAGTTTACCACACTTGAAAAAAAGAATTCTGAAACTAAAACCCTGACCCAATATTTGTTGATTCTGCTAAGCTGGCCTAAGTTAAATGGCCTAAGTTATATGGTAATAGCCTTCTGATTTATAAAATGCCCCCTTATGATCTGCTTGAAAATTTCTACTAACAGTCCTAGCAGCCTATCACTTCTTTACTATTAAGGCCATTTAATAAGCCTTAGAAATTGTTTATAAAGACTAAAGACACAGTATCTCTTGTATGGACTATGTAGCTTAGACCACTCAAATACCTTACAACTAATTGTTCTTTCATTTCTGGCAGATTATTCCGAGCTACTAACCAGTGGTAATCATTGACAGACTTACCTCCTTATCTTAGTGTATGAAACCCCAATATAAGGTTTAGGAATAACTAAAAGAAATGAAATGCTCCCTCATCTTCTTCATCTTATCCCAATCACTATTTTTTTTCTTACCTCTCTTGCTTCTTCTTTAACTATTCCCACCAGACAGATACTCGACCTTTCAATCTGATTGTGATTAGTTTAACTAGTGTCTTCTTAAGAACCTCCTTACACTAAGAAATCCTTTCGATTTCGTTCAATCATTCTATGAACTCATATGTATGTAATGTTCTAGTAAACCCAAGGATTTTGATGTGAGACCTGAAATCCCAGATCCGACCTCTTTCTTATCATGATTATGTCTCATCTAATCTTTAAAAATCAAGTATAAAAATCAAAAGAAAAGGACATATAAGGTTTAATGAGCAAATATTGTTGAGATGTGAACCTTGAATTCATAATTTTATCTTTAAAAAATAAAACAAATGGTGGTTGCCTTCTTAAAAGGTTTACAAGACTTCTAAATAGGCTAAAAAACCCTATATCTACTAGGAAACAACTGGGAATATGAAAACATAAAAGAAATAAACAAAACATCCGAATTAAAACATAGAATTCAAAATAAAATTGAAAAATAATAAAAACCGCAATTTTAGAAGCATCAATGCTCAAAATGTGATTATAAAAGATCCAAAGTCCGTTTAGGAGGTAGCCGCTGCCCTAGAAAAAATTGCTTGTAAAATCATTTGTAAAAATTTGAGTCAGATATTTTATTATCATAGTTTTAAAAAGCTAACCAATCTTGACTATTCCAAACCTTTTCTTGGATCTAAACTTGTCTCACTAGTCTATAAAAATATTTGTTAAGCCATCAACATAGTCTATCTAGGCCAGATCCTCATTTAGTAATGTCATATTATCACCTGAATGCTTAGAACCACTCATGTCTACTAGCCTAGCTATATCATATATTTAACTTTAATTAATAACTTCATTACTTAACATTAAATATTTATGTAATTATATGCTTAGAACCACTCATGTCTACTAGCCTAGCTATATCATATATTTAACTTTAATTAATAACTTCATTACTTAACATTAAATATTTATGTAATTATATGCTTAGAACCACTCATGTCTACTAGCCTAGCTATATCATATATTTAACTTTAATTAATAACTTCATTACTTAACATTAAATATTTATGTAATTATATTTTAAATTGTTATATAGGATGAGGTTACAATTTATTATCAAATACATAAGCAAAAGAAACTACATGAGCGACATCAACATTATATGTCTCAGGCTAGTTTCTTATACATTAATTATTTGAAGCACATCAAGCTTGATCACAGCTTGATCTATGCACTGATTGAGCGATAAAGACATGAGACTCACATGTTCCTCCTTAAGCACGAGGAGATTACACCAACACTACAAGATATTGCAATTTTTCTTGGACTTCCTATTGATGAACAAGTAGTCACATCTATTGGGGTGCAAAATTAGGTTATGTTATACAAACGTGTATTTAGATTAACACCCTCTCCTACTGAATTGAAGGAGGGTAGCATACGCTTTAAATGTATTGGTGAGATATTTGCAACACCACCAGATGATACTGATGACAAGAACTTATGAAGGTATGCTTTAAAATATGATTTGAATGTGTTAATTATTTGTTAAGTATATATGAATTAGTTTGATTATTTTAATGCATTATGTAGGTATGCAAGAGCATATATATAATGCATTTGTTTGGCAGTGTATTATTCATAGACCTCACGGGGAGATATGTGCCATTGATTTATTTAACACTTCTTAAGGATTTTGACATGATTCTCATACACAACCAGGGATCTACTATCTTGGCATGCCTATACAAACATCTATGTCTTGCATGCATGAAAGGGGCAAAACATGTTGGAGTATGTTTTCTACTTTTACAGGTATGAATGGAAAAATTTTAAATAATTATTTACATTTTAACTATTTGTTGCTAACATGAAAAAATAACTCATTTTTATTTAATGACAGCTATGATACTAGGAGAATGTTTGTGTGGGTCAGCCCTAGATTCCTAGATTTACTTCAGCTCCTATTAGGATGCAAGTAATGCAATGTTCTTTTGCAATTATATGCATTTATATTATATAACAGTAACTTTAAAAATGCAATTAAGTTAATGTATTTGTAATATTAAAGGGTGTGCTAGTAGTGTATTTGATAATAATCCAACACATGCTATCATTTTATTAGAGCAAGCTGCATAGACAACACCCTATCCATGTATTTTTTAAACCATTTATTTAGCGAAACAACTTGACTTTAATAAATTATTGTTGTTTAATATTTATGACACTTATAATATAGGTCATATGAACTCCATACGAGGATAATAAATTAGCCGTTGCTCCAACAATTTGCAATTTCAAGAAGAATCAAGTGTTACTCATCAACCATGACACTTAATACAAGGCTGCTTTTCATGATATTGTTAGAAAAGTTTAATTGCAACTGGAGTTCGAGCAGAATCAAGAGTTACCTACCAAACATGACACTTATACAGGCCCCCTATAAGAAGAGCAAGTCAATGCAAGTTCTGAAAGGTTAATCTAAAACATTTAAGCACATCAAATTTCCTTTAAGTATTTTAACCACCCTGTACCTGATTTATGGGCAAGTTCTATGATCTCTCAGACAAAATTATGCTATTCTAGAGATGTACAAACTAAACGGAGCTTTCCCACTACACCATCCACCATGCTGGAAACCAAATCATTTTACTAGGGAAACATTGCAATGTTTAAGGGATATATTACACATCAGGTATTCATTCAAACTCAAAGAAGAGATTGAGCTTTCAATAAAATCAAGAATAATTTAAATCTCAGTGGTATCATCAGTGACATATGATCTTTTCGAAAATAATTAATTTCTTGTTCCATGATCCACTTTAGTAAGATTTCGGGTGACAAAATTTAGAGGGAACCCTACTAATGGATCACTTTTTACTGACTATGATCTCTTCCCAAAAACTAAAATTGCATAATCTCAAAATAGCAATCAAGCACACAGTAAAAATTGCAAAGCAAAAGAATGCCTCTAAATAATCAGAATTCACATTAAGATTCATGATGTCAACAGCATAAAAGCACGTAAAGAGGGAGAAAAAAAAAAAACCTAACCTTTATCCCAGAAGGAGTTTCCATGAAAACTGAGCTTGTACGTATTTGTACAAAAACTGTGAAAAGAAGAACCTTGCCCTGGTAACTGAGGGACCCCAAGGTACCCTTTATCAGCGCTGCACAACCAAAAATTAACTTTCTTAAACAAAAAAAAAATCAGAATAATCTCAAATTCCACAAGTCATAAACATGATACCACTCATAACCATCAATAAGAAAAACAATGGTGGGTCAAGTAAAATTCTGCCAACTACAGAGATTAGCAAAACTAGAATTAATTTGGGATTCTAAGAGCAGTTTAGTCTTGTACAATCTGAACTGGACTGACTGTATAACATGAGGAATCACTTCAGAGAATGAGAGTTGAGAGCTGGCTGCTGTGAAAATTATTACATTTCCCTCTTTCCAAACAAAGTAAACAACACCGCATTCCACAATCATTCACTAAATTCATACCCCATAAGTCAAAAACAATTGCATGTCTCTAAAAAAACGAGTCTTTACACAAATCACAGAAACCTAGTATCAAAAAGAGCATCCCAAATATTACATGTCCTAACGAGCAACAACTCCACTTTTGCAACATCACCACACCATGTTTCTTAAAATTAGAGCTACCCCAGTAACAAAAAGAGCTTGCAAATGTCACATATCCTAGTGATCAAGAAGTACCAAAATCACAATAAATCACCAGAAATGAGCTTACGATCTTGCAGAGGATTGAGAGTGAAGAGGACGGTTCCATTCTCTACAAAGCAAACAAACTCCATTCCTATTAAAGACATACATCATGTGTGCATTGTTCCCTGATGTTAGTTGGTGGTGGTGGTGATGTACTCATGTCTGACCCTCCAGAAAAAAATGCATCTTTTTGGGTTTTAAGATTGAATGTCACTGACCCTCATTCAAAAAATGTCAGAGGGACACTGTAAGAGAAGAATCATCAAAGAGGGAGAGGGAAATGGGAGAGGGAGGTCATGTTTTTGGGCACGGGGCTTTGTAAACGACGTGTCGTGGATTGTTTTTTATTATTTATTTATTTTTAATGCATGTTTTTATGCTTTTAAAATCTCTGTCAAGAATCAGCAAAATTAAATACTTTTTCTTTTCTGTTTTTTTTAAGTGTTTTTTTAAAAAAATTATTTTTTATTTTTTTATTTTAAATTAATTTTTTTAATGTTTTTAGATATTTTAATGTGTTGATATTGAAAATAAATTTTTAAAAAATATTATTTTAATATATTTAAAAAATAATTACTACCTGAATACCAAATATCATATATCATATTAATTTCATAAAGAAGTTTCTTTAAACAAATATCTCTATATATTTTAAAAAAAATCACCTATCAATATTAGTAAAAAAATAATATTAACTATTTAGATAACGATCAAGTAGTAAAAACTTGAAATTAAAGGGTTTATTCTCTCTATTGTCTCAAATTTAAGTTCTAAGTTGTTCATATAATGGTCATTGAAGACTTATATGATCGTTAATTTTAAAAATTGTAAAATTAATTGTGATATATGTAAGTTGACCTGAACATCCATATTAATTAAAAAAAAAAAAATACTTTTATTTAATTCACTGTGGTTAATCATCAACTGATTTTTTATTAGAATTTTATAAAATGCATAAATTTCATAAAAAGAGATTGCTTTCTAAATAAATTCCAAGTTAAATTAACAAAAAAAAAAAGGAATCAAAATCACTGAATTTACCACAATGAAAATCATGTTGTATAAATCCAAAAGATGGCAGGAAAAGTGCAAGTAGAGCAATAATAACATGACATGTATTTTAAGATATTTTTAAATTGTCAGTAGCCACTGGTAACTTGGTTTTTCATATTATTTTAACAAAAAATATTAAATTAATATTTTTAATAGTTTTGATAACAATGTATAGTCATTTTAATATATTTTTATTTTAAAAAATTAAAAGGCAATATACACCTCTTCAGCTCACCCCAATCAACTACTATTATATTTATTATATTAATAATAAATTTAAAAAAAAAACATATATTATTTTAACATATTTCTATATCAAATAATATTTTAAAAATCAACCCTTGGCTGACTTTTTTTAAATCAAGGCTACAAAAATAAAAATAAAGAGATGTTGACACTAAATGGATTTGAGCATTGAACAATCAAAGAAGGGGCAAAAAGACCAGTACAAGTAGACTAGACAATATGAAAACTGGCAGAAAAGGGAGACATTTTACAACCAAAACAGTTTGTTTTCTGGAGCACTAAACAGCAGCGGTGAAGAAAGAAAGGAACACAAGCTGTCAACCTATTCTATTTTGCACAAAGTTATTCTTTAAAACAAATAACACCGACTAACAAAATAGAGCACTGTTTTGGTTACAATACATGTCCATTCAATGGAACCGGCATGCGGCTCGGCTTAGTACTCCCATTTCCTCATCTCCATGCCATCAGGAGGGCTTCCCTCCACCGTCTTAGTACCCACTTCTTTCCAGTTTGTCGACAGCACCGTCCCATTGGACTCCACCTGTGGTTATGAAAACAGCAGAAAGCACAAACAAACATCAGGAAGCAGTTCCTTCACCCCATAAAACATATGCATAACATAATTAATTCAAAGGCCTTACAAAAGGCTTTTGCATGGCTCTTCTTGTGTCTTCATCAGCATCTTGGTAAATTGTTCGGAAAAATTTGTTCAAAGCAGCATCCCCATCTAGTTTCTCCTCTTTCTCCTGAAATCCATAAATGATATCTCATGCTTCGGTTATGAAATGAGCACAAAACATGAGCACGGAATCAACAAATATTACCTCCTTCTTCACTTCAGCTTCAAGCTTGTCCCAATCAACTCCTTTTGGTTTTGATGAGGGATAGGTAGGCCTATGAGCAATCTCTGCAAAATTCATCATGAAAAGCAAGCAATTTAGCAAGGCCATGCAGCATGCACAAGTTCAAGCTACCACTTAGAGGCTTAAAGCATCCCTTATCCTACCGACACAATTCCAACATAAACATTTCCAAAACAAGCCCTGACCCCTTGGGAAATGCATCTCATCACACATGGCACATTCCCATAATAAGTCATCGGTTCTTTGGATGTTAGTTACACAAATGGACTGCAATATTAGTTGCTAGAATTTCACCTATACTGGGTATGAAAAATTTTACTACACTAAATAAAGTACCAAGTTAGCTGAGAAAATGCACTAAATTAAATATTATAATTCATAACAATTAAAGCTTGATGATGCAAGATGTAACATGTATAATATATCACCTTGAAAACAACAATGGGCAAGAGGAAGGGGGTTAAAGAAAATGTTTCCGGAGCATGGATTTCACAATCAGTTCAGCCTCCAGTTAATATTGATAAACAGTTGTCATTTACTCTTGTTTAACATATCAGATGATACAGATATGTATTGCTAGCCTCTTATTTAACATATGAGATGATACAAATATGCATTACTAGCAATTGGACATACCAGAGGATACAGTAATCCTTTTTACCACTGCTGTCTCCTTCTTGTATTCAAGAGATGCCCAGTGCAGACCTGGTTCAGCTTTTGTGAGACGGATTTCAACTTTGGTGGGCAAGACATTAAATTTGCACTTGTCAAGTATAATCTGTTGGCACAAAATTTGCATCCAGAATAAGAAGCAAGAAAAAGCTTCCCCTACAGTATTACACAAAAGTAGAAGAGGAAAGGACTCAAAGGATAGCAGTAGTAGAAGATGCTGATTATTTTATGATAACCCTTCATTCCTCTCATTTCAAACAAGTAAATGCTATAGAATCAAACAATTATAGCCTGCTCAAAAGCGAAGTAGATTCCAACATTAATCTCAATCAATACCTTCCCAAATAAGCGAGTTTGAAAATGGTACGCATCTTCACCGGGAACATTAATGCGAACACTTAACTGCAAAGCAATCATCACACATTAGAATCTAGAAGTTCAACCCCTTGTATCCAGAAAAATATACAGAGAAAGACTTCTAATTGACATGCATACAATCTGTTCACCAAAATCAACAGTAACACTGTCGGCTGGTATGCCCTTTGCAAATATAGTCACAACCACCTCTTCTGGCTTTTGGTAGAATTCATGCCTGTACAGTTCAGTAGACCCATTACATATTCGCATGAGAAAAACATAAAAATACTAGTGTTCAGTCAAAACTGGAAACAATACTAGAAAGTTTCAGGATAAAAGCAATCCTTCACCAGCATTGCCTTTGAAAATCAAAACCATGAGAGAGGAGGTGTCCACATGGATACACAAGCACAAATTTGCACTAACCTGTACTTCGACTTGGAACGTGTTACCATTGGAGCCTGACAAGAAATGTCTTCTGGCTCTTCTTTTAGGGAAAGAGTGTTTACTGATGCCTCCACTGCTTGCTTTTTTGTCTCACCAGTTTCCTCTGAAAGGACACGAAAAGTTTGTTCACAAGATCATGATAAAGCGACAATGTTCCTAAAAACACTAATACCATCCTCAACAATTTTGTTTAGATTAATAAAATATGAACAATTGGACCAAGTATTCACACTGATAATGATAAAAGAGGACTCATACCTGCAATGCGCTCATCACATTCTTTGATCAAGTTAGCAAATCTAGACTCTTCTGTTGCCAAAGACGCTCCTGCTTCCAACGCTGCCTTAGCTGTCTGATACTCCTCAAGTTTCATGCATGCAATACTGCAACAGAGATAGTGGCAAGGGAAAATCAATCAGAAAATCCAGTGAACAGAATCAGATCATTCATGAGAAGGTACAAATGCATGAGGTAAAACCAAGGGCACTGGCACTACTTATATGACACAGAATCCTTACACCATGAAATAATGAATAATCAAATAGAATTCAAGACAGAGTCATCACTTCTCGCTTGCGATCTCGATTTTACTACCACAAGAAACCCAACTTTTCTTCAGAATTATCATAAACTCACATTTCAATTCAATCACACACATACAAAAGCACCACCAATTATACACCAAAACACAAAGAAACCACAAACTCCACACTCATAATTCCACTAAACCCCAAGCACAAATTCATTAACTCAAAAACCGAAAATCAAATCCAACAATAAAAACGAATTCGCAAACTAACCCTTTCCGCAAGTAAGCTTTAGCCATGGAAGGATCCAACTCAATCGCTTTGCTTGCATCCGCAACAGCCTCTACAAGAACATACCAAAATACAAACAAACTCTCAGTCTCATTATTATTATTATTATTATTATTATTTTGATAAATAGTCTCTCATTACTAAAATCAATAAATTAATCAAACCTTCAGTAAGTCACAATTACATATTAAAAAAATACACAATTCTGTGACGATTTATTAATAGCTAATTAACACAGAATATGAACAAGAAATCGTAAAGCTAGGATTAAAAATACAGAGAGCAAGCGAGAGAAAGTGAAGTGACATAAAGGAGAGAGAGGGGTTGATGCTGTGGTGGTGGTGGAGCGGGGTTAGTTAAGTATACCGGTGAGACAGTTGAGTTTGGTTAGTTAAGTATACCGGTGAGACTGTTGTGTTTGATATTGGCCTGAGCACGGTCAGCGAGGAGGTCAGGATTGGTAGGGTTAAGAGCGATGGCTTGGGTGTAGAGATCGACGGCTAACTCGAAGTGGTCGTCGATGAATGCTTCTTTGGCTTTCTTCTCCAGATCTGCCATCGATTGAATTCAACAAAATCGATTCTGAGAGACGGAGCCGGAGAGTCTAGAATAGAGGGGAAGAGAATATGATTGACTTGGGAGTTGAGTTGCTAATACGAGCCTACTCTCTACTAATCACTTTGACAATCTTATATAGGATTGGGAAAAAAAAAATTAAAAAGAAGCACCATTACTAAAAAGTTATTTTCATGAATAAACTTGAGTAATTTTCTACTGGGCTTGAAATATTTATGAATATAAAATATATTTTAAAAAGATTATTAAAATACAATAATTTATCATACAACAAGTGTAAATTAATTATAAAATACATATAAGATGAAGTGCTAAATGATTTTAACATTCAAATTAAGTTTAATATATATATATATATATATAATATTGAGATAAAAGAATTAATTTTTTATAATAATTATTGTAAAATGTTTATATTGTTTTTGTTTGTAAGCAAACTCGAGCTTGATTGAAAAAACAATAAACATGGCTTGGATATTATTTTAGAGCTTCTTATAGTACTAGAGCTCAACTGGAAAATGATTTAAAATTTATAAAACTAATTTTTTAATATTTAAATTGATTTTGCTTGTTTAAGCCCTGGTTTCACATAATTAAATCAGAAATTTGCATGCTTTTGTTTTTATTTTATGGGGGGTGTGTATGTAATAATACAAAATGTGAAAGTTATTACCGATTATTAATAAATTTAATTTTCTTGGCTTATTGGGTGAGTTTATAGGTTTTTTTCTTTCTTTTTTCCAGGCAAATAATGCCAAGTTGAAATCCTAAATTAAATATAAAAAAAAAAAAAACAAAATCTATAAAGGAATTAGAAACAAAATAAAAATAAAAATCAAATCGGCGAGCAGACACGCTTTCTCCTTGTTTTGGCTCCTTCAAGGAACACGCGAAGAAAAAACAATGCACAGATGCTAAAGAACAGAGAGAGGGAGAGAGAGAGAGAGAGAATTGCTTGAGCAGTATTACAATTGAAAGGAATCTCTTTTCCATTAAATTTCCTCAAGCCTGATACACCAAGAAAAGGATCACCTCTATGACCACTGCTTCAGGGGAAATTTCCATGAAAATTAAAACCACTAACCAAGAAAGTTCCTACCAAGACCATGGGGTCAACAGCTAACCATCCAATTCATCTGTCTTCCTCCCAATTCCCAGTATCAGTTACAGCCTGAAAGAGAAATTATCCTTTCATGTCCAATTAAGTAGCACGTTTAAGCAGAAAGAGAACTCATCATCCATGCTCACTGGGTGCCCCTGAATCTCACTCATCAATGGAGGTCCAATTAGCTATTACTGTAGCATTTAGTTTTTACTAAACTCATTTGCCATAGGATCGTTGCCGTAGTAATCTGAGCATGAACAAGAGAATCACATAATGGTCAAAAACCATCCAGAACTTTAAAATAACAAGAATTTCATATTGTTAACTTAACTTATCAGCAAATATTCCATCGATCAAGAATGTGCTAATCTAGCAGTAGTAATCTTAACTCAAGATCAAATGAAAATTTGTTGCTGACCTAAAATGGTGTCATGTGAATTTGTTATTGACATGTAAAATCAGGGCTTTGGAGGTACTTGTTTTACAAAATCAAACAATGCAGGCATTCCAGCTACTATATTGTCAATCTCAAGCCTATCAGCAGTGGCTTTACTGATTTGCAGTTCACGAGTCTATATAACAGCTTTACTTTCTTCTAATGTAGAAACCTCTAGTTCGATTTGTTTTATCTGTTCATATGTGGCCTTCAGTTGCTCTTCCATTGGGCAGCTTGATCTTGCAGCGAGGTAATTCGTGCTTTTATGTTAGAGCCTGATATAGCAGATTGGGAGACTGCTAAGTCCAAATTCTCGTATCCTTGCAGAGGCAGTGTTTCTGGTCGTGAACTAAAGGAGCAAGTAGCAATTGCCCCCTTGAGCCTATGTACTTTAGCCAAGAGCACCCCCATGCGGAGCTTCTTACATTCGTTACTGGCGGCATTGATTTCAGCATTTAAAAGGAAGCAGAACCTATCATTTTCAGTAGGAGAAAGCAATACTTGGGGTGACTGAGACAAAAAGCTCCTAAGTTCAGATGCAGCAGAAATAACTGCAAAACCAGAAGTAGTTGCGATAGAAGAAGTTGTGCTTGTAGCCAGATTCCCATCTGGAGCATGGAAAGCCGAAGAAACTTTAACAAACAACAAGGTTTGTGCTGGATGGAGTTCCCTTCTGCAGTAAGCTCCATCTTAGTGCATTCAACTTGAGGAATACCTCCAGTACCATCAATGGCCATATTATTGGATTGTTGGCCAGAACTTTGAGTTTCAGTTGGTTGCAGCTACAGAAAGATTGCTTCAACAACCAATATCGCAAGAAAAGAAAAACATGAACAAAGTTGAAAGAGAAAGATGATATCAACAATACCTCAATAATACAGCCAGATACGAGATGATGCTCCTGATCCTTGAGACGTCTTCCAGGTGTTTCTTTTGCAGTAAAATCATCTTGTACTGTTAATTCTTGTACCTGGTCATGAGCTAGACCAGAAACTGCTGCTTGACCGATGCCTGAAACAATAGGATATTGCTCCTCAGTCATAACAATAGCATTTGTAGCTTCATCAACAAGAAGATACAGAACACATAGTAAATTCATAAATAGTAAGACTAATAAAGACAAGACAAAGAATATTGACAAATTACAGATAACGTAGCATGCAAGCACTAGAAGTTTCTTCTTCCTCTCTTTCCTCTCCTACATTTGCTACTAGCTTTCTCCTCTTTGCTTGTGGAGGAGCACCAGCTCCAATGTTTGGTGAACCTTGTTTTTTGGGTTTGCTTTAGCACTAGACTCGATATTAGAAACTGACTGTTGTTTTTATCTTTCTTCCAATCTTTAAAGCAACCGTCTCAGTGTAGGCTTGTAGTTCCCTTCCTGCTTTTAGCACAGAGCTCTTTGTTGCAAACTGGGCATTTGGCATGTACCTCACATTTTCTTGAACCTTACTCGAAAACTTCCAAACTACAGATGTACTTTTTCTTGGTTTAGGAGTATACTTAGTCTGTTGAGTATCATTCTTTTTTCGTTTATTAATCCTCTTGCTCTGCTGCGTATCGTGCGTTTCTCCCACCTGCTTGTTGCCATCAACATCTAGTTCAACTGTAGCATTTTGTCCCCTGACTTCCTATCAAGAAATAATCAAGTGATAGTTCATGCAAGCTTCGTCGAATGTATACACCATCACTGAACAGGCAGTAGACATGTAGATAAGGCAGAGGACATCTTCCCATAAAGCAAAACATGCCGTAATTTGGTAGAATTATGACCGAGAACAAATGTGTTAGAAGCCATGTTAACTTATCTGCACATTTTCCCGACAGCAATAGTTAGCTACAGCCAGAGATCCGCACGTGTCACAATTTTGCACAAACTGATTTCTAAATTGTTCATTAGGCCCATTTGTTATCATTCTGTTTGAATATGGTGAAGGGCTCTCAAAAACAGCCAAAGGTGAGATGTTTGGCAACTCGGCTTCATGAGACCCAACAGAGGACAGGGTCTCAGGTTCAAATAATTAACATTCCGTCACTGTTGCCTAATGAACCAGAAACGAAATGGAGAACTGACAAATTACAAACTGATTTTTGAAGAACGAGAATTATTTTAGCACCAAAACAACGAAGATGCAGTGACGAAGCATACCTGTTCATGAGGCTCATCTGTTTCTACCCTGTTATTTTTGTAAATCGAAAATAAAAACTTACTTGTAAGAATTTGTTGAATCAATTATTTTAGTATCATTTTAATTACTAAAACTTAAAATTAAAGTGATATTTCATAGTACAAATATCTTTGTAAATCTTATCAAGTCAATGCAAAAAATTAAGATAGGAAAAGAGAAAGAGAGAACTATGTTCTTTTAATAATGAAAGCTTATAATTCTATATGGGTTATGTCTATTTATATATGATTAGAGAAGGTAGTTATTTTTCTTAGTAACTTCTTTAATAAATTGGATCAGGTTCATTCATCATGGGCAGACTCAGGGGCGGAGCAAGAAAAAAAAACTAAAGGGGTCAAATTAAAAATTAAGAGGAGTAAAGTTAAATTTTTAATTATTTTTATAATATTTACAAGGAAGGGAGCTGGGAAAAACATTTCCTGCAGGGGCCAGGGCCCCTGCCAGCCTCCCCCTGCCTCCGCCCCTGGGCGGACTAGACCTAATCCAATAACCAACATCTCTCACTTGTTCATGAAGAACTGAATCTTTTTAATACATTATACTTCAAACTTGCACAAGAATTTCATACTTGACGAACGGATCGTGTGACTTGAAGTACACAGTGAAAGAAGCTCCAATATATAAACCTAATACAGGCTATATAGCAGACATCAACCTCATAATTAATTATTCCTTAAAGTGTACTAATATACCCTAAGCATTTTTAGTTACACATGACTAAATATAATTCAATCCCTCAAGAATTTTCATACTCAATCCATTCTTACAATTACAAGTATTCTAAATCATATCAAATCTATTCAAGTGATATGATCCCGGTTGGTGAATGCAAGTAACAAGTATAAAACTAAAATTACTTTTTCTTTCGCTCACATATCAATCAAATTTGAATTAACTCGTTTTCCTAAGAGTATCCCTTTAAGTTGAATCATTCCATGACTATAGGATATACTCTTAAAGTAGCGATCATTAATGCATCACCTCATGATATAGTCAAAAGTCATAAAGGGTAAGATTTTAAGATCTTAGATATGATCTTCAAGACTCATATAATAAAGAAGCAGGGATCCATTCTTTTATTCCTGTAACGGTCGCTAACACATGTAGTATGAAATACATGTTATAATAGAGTTTACTCTTTTCTTTTCTTAAGACAAAGAATGTTTGTCATTGCTCTCCTTGTTAAAGGAAATACATTATACGAGTCTTAGTCTTATTACTAAAAACAAACTTCAAATAAAAAATTCTCATTTGTTTATTTTTTATTAGTGGCAAATGAATAATTTCATACTCGACTTTAATCATAATAGACACATGAATGGTGGGAATTCATTCATGTCGATTCTTTTATTTAAGAATCTCATCTTGGTCCCAGCCAAGATGACTTTTTAATAATCATTTTAAGTTAAAATTGTTCTCACTATGCCCAAATCGCTTATTAAGCATTAAAACTCAAATAGTCTCGTCTCTACTCACCTTACAAGTGCTAAAAGTGATTGCTTATGTGAATGAGCTAATCTAAGTCTATCGATCTATTATAATAAATTGTATTATACGATACTCATAATATATTCATGAAACAAATAATGAATAAAATGATATTCAAAAGATATTTATTCATTACTCAATCTCTCAATCACTGTAAGCTTTCGTATGATCTTTAAAACTAATTACATTCTATATAGGCTAAGGGATCTCATATGTCTAACAAATACATCCCTTGTTATTGGTTTTATGAATAGATTTACAACCATAGAATTTGTAGAAATGTGTTTTAGGATCATATCTTGTTCAATAATTGCTTCTTTAATATAGTGATATCTCATCTTGATGTGTTTGGTCTTTACATAGTATTTTGGATCTTTAGCTACAGCTATTGCAGCAGTGTTATCATAATAAATTGTCACTGGGTTTGATGCTGATTTGATAATTTTCAAATAATACAGAAAAGTTTTTAACCAAACAACATTTTATGTTGCTGTGGAACAAGCGACATACTCAGCCTCCATGGTAGATAAAGCTATACATGATTATTTCTTGCTCCTCTATAGTATTGCACTATCATTAAGCAAGAAAGCACATCCTGAAGTTGACTTGGATTGGTCAACATCTCCTCCATAATCAGCATTAGAGAAACCAATCAATCATAAATCTTTCTTTTCTTTGTAATATAGTATGTAATTTGAAGTTCCTTTCAGATATTGTAAAATCCTTTTGACTATCATCCAGTGTTTCTAACCAGGGTTTGATTGATATCGGCTAACCAATCCAACGGCATAACATATATCGGGACGTGTGCACATCATTGCATACATCTAACTACCTACAGCACTAGCATAAGGTACTCTAAACATTTTCTCCTTTTCTTCTAGAGTTTTGGGACACATATCACAGCTTAAGCTCAAACTTTTATCAACAGGAGTGTCCATTGGTTTGTTATCTTGCATGTGATAGCGCTCTAACATCTTTTTGATATAAGTCTCTTGAGTTAAATCCAAAAGCCTTTTAGCGCGATCTCTTATGATTTTCACACCAAGTACATAGTTGGCCTCACCCATGTCTTTCATTTCAAAGTTTGATGATAACCACTTTTTAGTAGTATCAATCATTTCTTTACTATTTCCAGCTATTAAGATGTCGTCAACATATAAGGATAATATTATAAAACTATTGTTAAAACATTTTAAATACACACAATGATCTTCTTCTATCATTGTAAAACCATCCTTAAGGATAGCTTGATGAAACTTAACGTTCTATTGTCTAGAGGCTTGCTTAAGACTATATATGGATCTTTTAAGTTTATAAACTTTGTGCTCTTAACCTTTAGTCTCGAATCCGAAAGGCTGATCCATATGGATCTCCTCATTTAGTTCTCCATTGAGAAACACAGTTCTAACATTTATTTGATATAACTCAAGGTCTATATGTGCAACTATAGCTAAAATGAGGTAAACTGAAGTAATCCTCACAACTGGTAAGAATGTATCTTCATAATCAATTCCTTATTCTTGTGTATAACCTTTTGCTACTAGTCGAGCTTTATAACATTCTATTGACCTGTCCGTCTTACGTTTCATTTTAAGAACCCATTTATTTCCAATGGATCTTCATTTTGATGGTAAATCAACCAAGTCCCAAACTTGATTAATTTTCATTGACTCCATTTCTTCTTTCATAACTTTAATCCATTCACTTGCTTTAGGACCAGATAGACCATGACTGAATGTTTTAGGTTATTCATCATCTTGTGGAGCATTCATGAAAGCTTCCCCCTCAATCTTAAATCGACGATGAGGAATTGGTTCATGAATGCTTCTTCGAGGTTAAGATTGCTCATGATCTTGCTTAATGAGAGTAGGAATAGATAAAATATCACTTCCACTATTTTTAGGAGGATTAAAAGTTTTATCTAAGTCCTCTACTGAATGGCTTGTTGCGCCATAATCTAGATTTTCCAATTCATATAATTGAAAATCTTTTTCAGCCTCTCCTATCTTTGGAAAAACCTTTTCTAAGAATACAACATCACGCGATTCAATCTTCATCACTCTTCCATTAGCTTTTTCATTAATAAATACAAATCCTTTGGAATATTAAGAATATCGTATAAAGATACACTTCTTCCCTCTAAGACCAAGTTTCCCATATTCATGATAAGTATTGTGAATATAAGCTTCACACCCTCATGGATGGAAATAACCTAGATTAGGTTTGACACCATTCCATAGTTCATATGGGGTGGATGAGACAGACTTAGAGGGCACACGATTAAGTATGTATG